TTCAGCATTTCCTAATTCATGAGAGTGCAATTAGGTGACAATCTACATACCTTAAATCTGAACATGTTGCAATCATTTTTTGTGACTAGGATATAGTTGCGGCTGGAAGTTTTTCACCTTTCCGATTTTTGCTTTTTGCTCTGTAGAATTTATATATTATTGTTTTTGTTTATTTATGATATTAGAATATAATGCACAAATTCTTGGAGTCAAGGTGTTGTGAACAGACAGATCCACCAGGGGATTTTTCCAGTACATTGTGAATGAATCCTATGTGTAATACAGAAAGCTCCCACAAGGAATAAATAAGGTTATTTGTTGAGAACTATGAAGAAAACAATCTGCTTCTCTTTTTAAAAAAGGCCACAATGATGTACTATGGAATGTGTATCATTATAATAACAGGAGTGGACTAAGGCAAGAGAGAAAAAGGAACATGCAACCACAGGAAGAAGGCTAACCACGTTAACCCTTCGTAAAGTGTTTACTTCATGAAATGTTTTGAGATATCACATTGCCTACACACATAATTCCAGTGGATATCATGAAGGATATGATTCTACAAGCTAGACTGATTTCTGTAGTAACTACATTTATCCAGAGAACCCACAGCTAATAAAAGAGCACCCTATTACTCCTAGGGGTGTAAACTCCTCTTGGCCTGAGAGGATGGTAAATAAATTGAGGATGCTGGGATTGAAGAAGAGATGTTCTGTGTACTCACACCAACAAGATATATTCTTTGTGGTCCAAAATGGCATTTCCCATTTCTTGATAGTCTGTATAATTTATCTATTTTGTTTGTTTATTGTCAGTCTCTTCCACGAAAATATAAGTTCCATGAAGGTAGGGAGTTTGTTTTGTTTTCTGTTGCATCTTCCATGCCTGGCACCTAGTTCCTGGAAGGTTTATATAATGAATAAGTTAAGAAGAAAGGGTGAAAATATAGGAAGGCAGGTTTTTGACTCAACACAAAGACTTTTAAAATTACCTCTGTACTTGTATACTGTCTGCAGGCTGTGTGGTCTTCAGCAGGAAGTGGTTTCTTCTCTAGAGCTCCAGCTAAATCCAGATGACTGTTGGCCTGGGATATTTTGGGGGACGACACATTGGAGGTGTTTGAACACCAGGTTCACTTCCAGCCTTGTGGTTCTAAGGATGGGCCTTTGCCAAAGAATTTACAATGGAGGGAACCCAGGGCAATCATACTGTGTTAATGATGGCAACTTATTGAACTTGGGATACAAGAGGTAAGGAGTCAAAGACGGCACTGAGACTCCCAGTCTGGAGATATTGGTGCCACTGAAGGGAAAAACTGTAATTCAACAGAAATGCTGGTTTGTAGGCAAACTTTAAATCATGGTTAGAAATTCTGAGTTTAATGTGTTAGTGGATTACACAGGAGACATCCAGAAGGTGATTATATTCAGGCAGATACGGAGCTCAGGAGAGGCTGAGTTATGTCATTCCCATTTGTTAGAAAAATCCACACCCCTCTCTATAGTAGGTAGAGATATCCAAGAAAAGTATGCATAACTCTTCCCTAACTGGTCATGCACATCCATCTTTATGAAATAATTAGCCTCAGTATTAAAAAACAGAACAATTTTCAGATTATTATATCAGAAGAACAAGAATGTTTCTTGAAAGTTGTAATCTGTATTTTGATTGAGGACCATATAGTGTATTTTGAAAAGCTTTATTTAGACTATGTGATAACTTAATACATATTAATAAAAGTGGTTTCTGATGTGTTTTAAAAATCATGCTTAAAAGATGCCATCAGTGAATAGTACATTTAGCTCTACAATTTTATATTATATAGAATGTAGGTATTATAGTTTCATTTCCTAGATGAGAAAAACAGAGGCCCAGAGTGACTTTATTGCTTATAGAGCTCAAACTTGAATCCCTGTCTTCAGAGCCTGAGTGTGAAGCTCTTTCTCCAGCATTCTGCTTCAGCGAGCTGTGAGTCACCAGACTGAGACTCCGCCCTACCATGGGACTGATCAGCTGGCTGCTCATTGGTAGTGAGAATGTCTACCACTTGTCCTTGACTCAGTTGTGGATCCCCCCCGCCCCCAATTCTAGTTGCAGTGCTTACCACCTGCTACCAGGGAGCCTCATGGTAAAACTGCAAGTTAATGATGATTGTACCAGCCAGAGTTTCTTGGATGGGCTGATAAAACCCACTCCCCAATACAAGGCTATCGCAGCAATAGGTCCTTTTTTTTTTTTTTTCCCTTCTACTAGTGATAATGTTCACTGCGAGAGCAGCTAATGGGTAGTCAAGTGCAGAGGCTTGGGATCTGGGAGAAAATGAGCTGAACAGGGAACCATGAATAAGCTGTTAAAGCCAAGTGGAAATGAGAAGTGGGGGTAATTTGGAGAGGTAGATGAAGAAGGCATTGGGGAGCACTGTGACAACACGGGGTTAGTTTTGTGCGAATGCAGTTTCAGGGGAGCATTTGCCCAGCTGCAGCATTACAGCATCCCTTTTTGTACACTGGATTTATTTCAGTGGGGAAGGAAGAAGGGAGGGGCCATAGGAATAATGGGGGGCGGCAATGAATTAGGAATGTTTTGGAAAAGTAATTTTCTGTCTTATATACTCGACAAAAGCACCTGCTATAATTTCACAATATTTTCTGTGAAAGCTAACCTTTATTTGCTATACAGGAAAGGTTGGCCAGTTACTGCCCAGCACTCACAGAAGGTAGAGATTGGGTCAATTTTTACCTAAGAGGACTGTGCCTTGCACTGGAAAGCTGAAGGAATATAGATTCAAGGGCTTGTGGTATTTTTTTCACTCGCAATTTTTGGAACCATATTCAGTACTACTGGATTAGGGCATGTTCTATCAAACTAACAATCAAAAGCTTTCCTATGGGGAAAGTATTAATGTTATAGCTGAAAGAGGTGACAGCGAATTACTGACATCAAAAATAATTTATTAACCGTGTCTGTGCAAAATACTCTGGTAGGCACCAAATCTCAGGGGCTTCCTGTTTCAATACATCCTTCTCTCTTTGCAGTCTTTTCAGTGTACCATTCGGCTCTTCACCTGTGAATAAAATGGATACCTTGAAAACTTCATCTTTGGGGACACGATTACAGGCCAAGAGAACGCCGTTTTCATCATCAGCGCCAATCATACAGTGCAGGGAAGGTGTTCTAGGAGGCTGCCATCCTCAAACTCTCTTTCTTGGAGCTTGTAAAATATCTTTCCGGTTTCCTCTTTAGATCAGGAAATCCGGGAAGAGTCGACTAGAGAGGTTTTGCACCATCAGCATAAACCACGCTGATGCTGGCTCTCTACCCCTTCATCCTTCCTTCTTAGGCCGGTCCCCTAGTCCCCCAGGCGGGTCCCACACTACACCTGAGATATAGGTACACAGGTGCCTCTCTACCCAAAGGAAGAGAAAGGAAAGAATTTTGGATACCAACCCAAATCGTTTTAAATGTTACCTCACATTCAGTTACCTTGTGATGTGTGCACCTGTGTGTACATCTACATTTAAAGACAATACTTTTTAAAAAGGTAAGTTAGCACACGTCGGCTAAGAGGTATCTGCCGGGTGTAATTGCACAAAGGTCTGTTTCACCAGCATCTCTCTTAGCAAGTCGGAGGGAACGGGCTCTTGATCCAGCAGCGCCCGCTGCCAGGCGGGGAAGCGCACAGACACCCCCCCGCACGCGCACACACCCCTGCTTTCTCGCCCCGCAGCTTCAGCCTCTGACCCCACTGCATCCACACAGGAAAGGGGCTCACAATCGGTGGGTCGGGAGCTGCTTTTGCCACACACTTCCAAGCGAGCGTTTGCTTGGATCATTTATCTTGTACGCGTTAAGAAACCACCATTAGGTGTTGGGGGGAGGCGCTACTTTGCCTGAAGCCCAGCCAGTCCGTGGCGGCTCCGCGCACACCGCACCCGCCTGGCTGCCAGCGCCCGCCTGGAGCCGCCTCCCGCCCGGGGTCCCTGTTCCCCCGGATCCCGGACGCGGTCTCTCGTTTCACGTCTCCCCCTTCAAGTGCGACCGGACAGGGGCGCCGGGCAGTGCTTTCGAATCTTCTGCGGCTTCCGGGGTTCCCTCCGCGGCGGGTCGGACAGCACCCGCCGCGGGCGCCCAGTGCGTCCCCGGCCCCGGGCTCGCGGCGGCGGCGCAGCTCGCTGGAGTTTGACTCTCGGGCAGCGGCGCCGGCGCGGAGTCTCAGGCGGCGGGAGCTAGGCGAGCCCGGCCGCTTGCCCTCCGCACTGCGCTCGGATTGGTCTCTCCCAGACAGTGCTAGCCGAGGGTTGGCTGCGGGCCGGCTGAAGAACAGGTGCACCTTACCGCCCGGACTCGCGGAGCAGCCGCCGAGGAAAGCGGCGCGGCGGGCCCGGCGACCGGCGGCGGCCAGGCCGGCCCCTCTGTGTTGGAATGCGGCTCTCTGGCACCTGGCGTTCCGCGGCCGGCCCGCTCAGCCCCTGAAGGCGGCGCGAGGCCCAGGGGCGACGCGGGCGGGCGCCCCGGGGAGCTGGCCGGGTGCGGCGCCCCGAGGATGCCGGCGCGGCTGGAGCGCATGCAGGCGGCGGGCGGCAGCGGCAGCGGCAGCAGCAGCAGCAGCAGCAGCAGCAGCAGCAGCAGACGACGCGGGGCCCCGGCGCACAGGAGGCCGCCTGCCGGGCTGCAGACGCGCCCCGCCGCTCCCTGACCGGCCGGCGGCGCAGGGGGCCAGTCTAGCCCCTCTTCAGAGCTCCTCGCCGCCACCTCCCCGGCCCGCGTCCCCCCCCCCGGCCCGCGCCCCCTCCCCCGCTCCTCTCCTCCCCGCCCGCCGCCCGCCTCTCGGGGGGAGGGGCGTGGGGGCAGGGAGCCGATTTGCATGCGGCCGCCGCGGCCGCTGCCTGCGCCCGAGCCCGCCGCCGCCGCCGCCGGAGCCCGCGCCTGCGCCCGGCCCGCGCGGCCCCATGCCTCTGGCGCGGCCCTCGGGGGGGCGAAGGTGAAGACCGGCTCCTAGGATGAGTGAAGGGGCGGCCGCTGCCTCGCCACCTGGAGCCGCTTCGGCAGCCGCCGCCTCGGCCGAGGAGGGCACCGCGGCGGCTGTGGCTGCGGCGGCGGCGGCGGCGGCGGCGGCGGGCGGGGGCCCGGACGGCGGCGGCGAAGGGGCGGCCGAGCCCCCCCGGGAGTTACGCTGTAGCGACTGCATCGTGTGGAACCGGCAGCAGACGTGGCTGTGCGTGGTGCCTCTGTTCATCGGCTTCATCGGCCTGGGGCTCAGCCTCATGCTGCTCAAATGGATCGTGGTGGGCTCCGTCAAGGAATACGTGCCCACCGACCTGGTGGACTCCAAGGGGATGGGCCAGGACCCCTTCTTTCTCTCCAAGCCCAGCTCCTTCCCCAAGGCCATGGAGACCACCACCACGACCACTTCCACCACGTCTCCAGCCACCTCCGCCGGCAGCGCCGCCTCTTCCAGGACGCCCAACCGGATTAGCACCCGGCTGACCACCATCACGCGGGCGCCCACTCGCTTCCCCGGGCAGCGGGTGCCCATCCGGGCCAGCCCGCGTTCCACCACGGCACGGAACACTGCGGCCCCCTCGACGGTCTTGTCCACGACAGCCCCTTTCTTCGGTGGCAGCACTCCGGGCTCCCGACCCCCGGTGCCAGGAACCCCCAGTACCCCGGCCATGCCCTCCTGGCCCACTGCGGCATACGCTACCTCCTCCTACCTTCATGATTCGACTCCCTCCTGGACCCTGTCTCCCTTTCAGGATGCTGCCTCCTCCTCTTCCTCCTCCTCGTCTTCCTCCTCTACCACCACCACGCCAGAAACTAGCACCAGCTCCAAATTTCGTAAGTAAACACTGTGTCTGAACTCTGATTTACTGCTGAGTTTCCATTCTGCCCTCCTGTTGTCCTTTCCCCTCGCCAACGCCTGTCTTCTAGCATCCTTCACCCCCACCCCCACCCCCCACTCCATTCCAGGTTTGGAACACGGAGTGAGAGAATTAAACCTGGCCACAGGGGAGGTAAAAGGTGCCGGCCTTTTCCTGTGTGTGTGTACGTGGGGGTAGGGGTGGTGTGAAGCAGAGGGAGATTGTCAGCCAAGCTCCACGGGCCCTACTTAAGTGGGTCCCAAATGAGAACTAACTCCCTTCAACGGGTTAAAGCGAGTGCAGACCTGCTGGGGAGCTCTGGGATCCGGCTCCTGATGAGAGCTGGGGAGGAAGGAAGGAGAGAGGGAGGGAGGGAGGGGAGGGGGGAGGAGGGCCTTCCCAAAAGCACTGAGCCCTTTCCCCGCCCGTGGGAAGGAGAGAAAGAAAAGCACATGTAAATCGACCGACGTTAAACCGCGGAGGGAAGTTGTATCCATGTGGGGGTGGGCTGGGGTGTGTGTGTGTGTGATGATTTGATGGAGATGTTGGTACGGTGAAGCTGTAGACACTTCCAGCAGCCCTGACCCGGGCAGGGACCAGGAAGGGTTAATTAGAAGCCATTGTGGGAGGTAGGGAAAGGAGGCGATCCATGGCGAAGGGCTAAAGTGATCACCTCCTACCCTGCCCATGGCCATTCCAAGGTGTAGAAACGGATTCTGTGGCCGCCGAGACTGAGTTAACTAGGGGGAATTATGAAGGGATCCCTGCAGAGCTGCCGCCTCTAGGGTCCTGACGGAGGAGGAGTTTTTTCAGCTCTGCCAAGCGTTTGCTTTGTTCGATTCCCAAAGGTGGAGAGTGAACCTCCTCTCCCCTCCCTATATGCCTGAAAAATTTAGGCAAAATGGGACAGTTCTGTGCACTCAAGGGTGAGAAAATCACCTCATTTGAAACAGGTCACTCTTTGAATGTAGCTTCTTCACCCTTGGCTCAGTTGCTGCCACTACTGGCCAGTTTCCCCAAGCATGATAGCTTTCTATCTGTCTAGGAGGTCTATATTTTCCCTATACCTTTATACATGTTTTAGATGACTAATTGACCTCCCAGCACCCTCCCACCACCTCACCTTGTTCTTATTATAAGGAAATTTTAGGAAGGTTCTTAATCTGACTATCAATCAGGATCTGAGAACAGTGTGTGCAACCTGTGAAGGTTATTTAGGACAAACCCCCAGCCTGCCAGTTCAAGTTCTGTGCAAGGCTTTTCTCCAAAAACTGCCTGGCTATGCCTTCTTTATACTGTATTTCTGTTTTGAGCCATAACATCTGGAGGGGAAGCAAGACTGCTCATCGTTAACTCTTGAGTAGGAGTACCAAGCTTTCAGTCATCTGGCAGTTTTTCATTTCTCTGACCTGTGGTCTTAGCTGGGGTGTTATTTAATCCTTGAAACTTTTTTGTTTTTGGATTTGTTGTATTTGTGGCTAAAGTCCAAGGAGAGATATTCCTTATGCTTTTACTCTGCTTTGGAAAAAAAAATAGGCCAAAAGATAAACTGAGAGACAGAGAGGAGAGGGGAAGGGAGGGAATCTGCCACAAACCAGAATGGCAGTCAAACTGGTAACTTGCTGCTTCTCTCTCCTTTGGCTGAAGCAGTCATTTTTGAGAGCACATTTTCTCAGGAGGTGTGTAGAGGTTTCTCTCAACAAATCTAGCTGCTTGAGTTTTGTGGATGAGTAAAGGATGTGCAAGTGTATGTGCAAACATATTCAATGGATTGAAAATAGATGCGTTTATCTTGAAGACCCCAGGTTTTTTATCTTTTCTTTTGTTACAGTTGATGTGAATAATGGAGTGTGGATGTACTTCTCAGCCTTGTGTGTGTGTTGGGGGGCTTGCATATGGGGGGATATTTCATATTCTTTCTGAATTGATTTCCTTGCTTTCCATTCCAGAGGTCTTTAAAGAAAAATCCAAGGTAATTATTTTCTACCCCTCCATGCTCCCTTCCTACATTCTGTAGAAGGGAATGGCAGCCTGTTTAATAAATAATGATTATTGACACGGCTCTCAGCCCCAAGGAGTAGGGTGGTGGTGCGGGGAGAGGGGGGGAGAATCTGTAAATGGTATCAATGTTCACTTAGACATAGAAGCAGTATTTGTTTTATGTGTATCTGAGGTTCAGCTCTTGCTCTCTTTTAAACCTTCAACAAGGAGTTGAATTAAGGGATTTGCAAGTATGCAAATCCAGCAGAAACTGACCTGGTTTGCCTATATCAACAAGGGAAATTTTAATGAAAGGAAGATTATGTAGCTTCCATAAAAGATGAATTTAAATAGGTAGGTTGTACGAGTCCAAGATTGTAGGATGATTAACAAAAGGAAATAAAGATTTCATTTGAGGCGTCATCAGCACTGCTGAAAAATGGGCTGAATATCTTGCATTTATATTTTTCACTTGTTTTGATTATGTTAGCAAAGTTCCCAGGAGAGAAATTCCCCCCTTTTTTTTTCTAGCTCCTACTTCCAGACTTCAGTAGATTGTTTTTGCTTTTTTTTTTTACGTGAAAGGCATGGATTGTGTTGTAGCACCTGAGGACAACTAAGAATGATGCTTTTTTTTTTTTCCCTTGAGACTAACTCACAAATTCTTTAATTGCCAGGGTCTATGGTTTTAAATTGAACACAAGGCCTATAGAATGAATGTCTTTGGGCTCGTCTTAGGGCAGTCAGAAGGATCCTGTCTGTAAAGGCAGCACAGCTCTGGAGTGGAAGAGGCCGGTTCACTCTAGAATAAACACCCTTGCTAATGGGTAATAGGGTTTTTGCAAGCAAAAGCTGTATTTGCTGTGGGAAGGCCCCGTTTAGGAGACTGTTTCTAATTTTCTGTAGGATTAAAGGCAAAGAAAGATTGAATTTGAAAGGCAGAGGGAGTAGAAGAGGGGTTTGGAAGTTGACTCTTCTCATCCTGCAACCTTTAGAACATGAGCCAGACCAAAACTTTCTTCTGTGTTACTGGGGTCTCTTGGGTTCCCAAATAGTTGCCCAGGACTTGCCTTTCCTTCCGATGCTTTAAAAACAAATATCTTGAACGTACTGCCTTTAAGAGATTATTTCCCCCCCAAATGTCTTTGAAGCATTTTACAGCTGTAAGTGTAGGGTTAGTTTACACATTTTTTAGTCCAAAGGAAGGTTTACTGCAGACAGTAGAGGAACGGTGATTTTGACCAGTGTGTAAGCAACCTTTTATGGCACATTGAATTGTATTTTCAGACTTGAAAGGCATATGCATGTGTAGAATGTTGTCAGTGCGCATGTGGATTGTTATTTTACTCAGCAGAAAGCACTGTTTAACAGATAGAAGACCAGAGTCCTTGGCTAAATTCAAGTACTAAAGACAAAGAACCACTTTCAATGGGTTATTCTTTGGGTCATATTTGGAAGGTATGTAGCTAATTCCAATGAGTAAGATCACAAATCTTGAATAGTGTATCTAGTAAAGAAATAAATATAAAGTGTATCATTGATGTTTAAACATGGTAGGGTGATCATTTTAGTATAACCAAGTCTACTTAAATCAAACTTTACCCAGTCAAACTTGTAATTTTGAAGCGTTCCATTGATAACATTGACAATTTTCTTATCTATCCTCTTTCTTTTTATACATTTATTTATTTATTTATTTTTGGCTATGTTGGGTCTTTGTTGCTGGGCTCAGGCTTTCTCTAGTTGAGGCGAGCGGGGGCTACTCTTCGTTGTGGTGTGCGGGCTTCTCATTGCGGTGGCTTCTCTTGTTGTGGAGCACGGGCTCTAGGCACATGGTCTTCAGTAGTTGTGGCACACGGGCTCAGTAGTTGTAGCTCGTGGGCTCTAGAGTGCAGGCTCAGTAGTTGTGGTGCACGGGCTTAGTTGCTCTGTGGCATGTGGGATCTTCCCGGACCAGGGCTCGAACCCGTTTCCCATGCATTGGCAGGCGGATTCTTAACCACTGCGCCCCCAGGGAAGCCCTTATCTGTTCTTTTTAAACATCTTCAGTCTTTCAGTAAAAGTACTCTGAGTTGCTTTATAAGCAGCCTCAGGTATAATTTGTTTAAATAAAGTTTACTCCTATGTTGTCTTCTATCTATTGATACATGAATCGAGGCCTTCAGAGGAATTCCAACATAGAAAGGACTGACCCCAATCATGTATGGTAGCCAAAGTGAGAGGATTCAGAGTTTGAGATCAATATTTCTTATGAAATCCAGTTGAGAGCTTTGTTTATGAGCACATGCTGCAGCCTGAGTATGTTTTGATTTCCTTTGGCCTTAATACAGGATTACGAGGCTTTTCTGCTTTAGTCAATTATACTGTACATTTTACTCTTCAGACACTTACCTTTTGCTTCATGATCCTAACAGAAAAAAAAGGAGGGGGAGGGGTGTGGGCATAGAATCGGCAAGGCTCTTTTTAGAACATTGTTAATTTGGTCTCAGTGCCTTAAGGCTGTGGTTGAAGCCTTCCTCCTCCGCTAGCTACTCGTGACTGAGCTAGAAGGGGTTGGCAGTGCTAATTGAGAGCTCCTTTTGCATGCTTGATTGGTGAATCCAGCCACCTTTGTATCTGTGCAATTTCCCGGACAGCCTTTTTTTTTTTTTTTTTTTTTAACACAGTGTTGATCCACGTATTTGTCAGAAAGAAAAACAAACAAACAGAAAAAGCTGGTGTGTGGCAGCTTCTCTCTGTTACTAAAGAAACCAACTTTTCTAAATCCAGGTTGAGCCGTAAGCAAGAGTGTCCGTGCAGAGTTTGAAAGCAGTGCTGTCCTGGGAGGTCTAGCGTTTGGAGGAAAAAGATCTCTCTTCCCCCTGGCATACTCGCCTGGCTTTTCCCCCTCTACACAGCGCAATGAGAAGAAGGATGATTTTCAGCTCCCTTCTTATGTAGAAATTCTTTCCTCATAACCTCTCCTATCCAGTGCCAAACATATCTCAATATTGTATC